TAAAATATTTGTCCACAGTTTGCGATGTTGGTGGCGTCACAGAAGGAAGAAGGCTTGTACAACCTCTATTTCCACAACTGCCCTCACAAAGCGGGTGGCGAAACTACGCCTATAAATACTGTGGTAAGTGAATTGCTCATTATAGGATAATTTATTGTCGTCTAATTTACTGTTATGTTCCACTAGCGGCCGACCGCGACTTCGTACGCGTGGATCCCGTTTTACCCCTTTAGGGGTTGAATTATGGAAAATCCCGTCTTAGTGAGCACCTACGTTCTAAAAGGAACCCTCATGCAAAACTTGAGACTCCTGGCACATGTAGTTTCTGAGATTTCGTGATGAGTGAATCAGTCAGTGACCTGTCGCTTTTATAGATACATACAGTCGTTGTTGCTTGTNAGATTTTTTTCAAAAAGTATCGTTTTTTATTATTTGTTGGCCTTTTTTGTGTGTTTTACGTATTTTTTTAGTATCGCCTGTTATTTAGCATTATTACTGTTTTTATTTTATTAGGATATACCGCTTAGTTTAAAAGTTATTACGTTTTCTTTACAATAAGTAATTTGAAGAAAAAAAATTCTATAAAAAATTAAAAAAAAATCTCAAAAATTTTTTGACCTCTTTTTTGTCGATAAAAACAGGTCTAGTTTCATCTATTTTCATATGTACACTGTTGCTTGTGTAGGGGCCAGGGGACGCGATGACAAAAGAAAAACTGCTTATTCCAAACTGCACTGTTTTTATTGCACACGAGTCACATGCTAAGTACATTGAGAGTGACAGACAAAAAAGGACTGACAAATTTTTGCACAATCGGTTCGCTCCTTCCCCTCCCCGCCGCCGTGCCCGCCCCCCCTCGCACGTGGCGCCGCAGGGCGGCGGGTAGCGGAACCAAACGAATTTAAATCTTAGGCGCGAATTAGTTTAAATTTTAGGCGCGTCGCTAACAACACTTTAACGTGACTCACACTGTATATTGCTACCTCCTAGAGATTATGTGATTTTAAAAAAAATATATTGCATAAATGTAGGCCAATTTAAGCATGTTAATTAAAATCTGAATAATTTTTCTGTAAATAAACGATTTTATTATCATTATTTGTTACGAGGGCGGCACTGAAAATTTCGGGAATCAAGGAAGTGAAACAACATTACTATTTAAAAATGTATTTATTGCTTTTTAAAGTATTCTCCGCGAACTTTGACACATTTTTCCATACACGAAACCAATCATTGAAGCAACCATTGCATTCGGAAGTTTGGGTCTCCAAAATGGCCGTTTTGTAGGCTTCCACAGCTTCTTCAGGTGATGAAAATCTCTGACCACGCAATTTATTCTTAATTTTAGGGAAAGTATAGAAATCATTAGGGCTTAGGTCGGGGCTGTACGGCGGATGGACTAATAATCCTATGTTTTCTTGCTCTAAAAACTCTTTTGTTCAGTGCGCGGTGTGAGAACTCGCATTGTCGTGATGGAGGATGATGCGGCGCTTGCAGTTCTCTTTACGGAGTTCAGAAACGACCTGTGGCAAACAAATGCTAGCATACTAATCTGCATTAACCGTTCTTTGTTCTCCAAGAGGAATAGTCGCAACATGGCCGGTTTTGGAGACAAACGTGGCCACCATTTTTTTTGCAACACTCCGTGAACGAACAATTTTTGTTGGCTTTAATTCATTTTCGAACACCCAAACTCGTGACTGGTTTTTTGTTTCGGGTTCGTACGCGTATATCCATGATTCGTCACCTGATACGATGTTGTATACAGCATTTGAGGATCCTGCATGTAATCTCCCGAGAGTTCTGACGCACCAAGTAACGCGAGCGCAAAAATGCGGATCAAGGATAGCTCCATATGCGAATGCGGCTTGGATGAAGGAACAGCTAATCACATCTTTTTCAACTGCCCCAAAATTGACCATTCGTTGTATGACTTCCTTCCCAAAAAATTCCCTTTTCCAACTAACCTTAAATGTGTCCTTAACTTTACTAATCCCCATACTTTGAAATCTCTAGTTAAATTCATTAACATCAATAAAATTAATTTGTAACCTTTTGTAACAAGCAAGAGTTGGCAGTAAACTTTTTCCAAACTAAACCTCCCCATTTGTGTTCACTCGTATGTATTATTTTTATGTATTGTGTTGTCTTATTTGTGATGTCTCTTTGTTTTAGGTATTTTGCTTAGCATACCTTTGAATTTAAATTTCTCAAATACCTACATTGTGTAAAAGCTGCGCACGTGATATTGGCGGAACAGTGTGCCTTGTGGCGAAAATACACAAGTTCATCGCCATTAAAAGAAGAAGAAGAAGAAGAAGAAGAACCGCGTAAAATAGATGAAGGGGGTAAAACGGGATCCACGCGTACGAAGTCACGGGCGGCCGCTAGTTAATCCATAAAGTTATACCTAGCGGAATAGGCAACAAAGAACTGAGCGAGCGAGATGTTACTAGCAGCAGCACTGTGTGATAAAAAGAGATGCGTGATGCCGTCACCGTCATGTCAAACAGAACCGTTTTTTGCAACTATTTGATAGTTTAGAGGCAGTGGCACGCTGAAAATTTGGACTCTGAAATATTTTCAGATTTTACATGAGTGCTTATAAAACCTGGTGACTGATTCAGTGATTGATTTATTGCACAAAACAGTGAAATAATCCTGCCACTGAGACACAAATGGCATTCAGTGACATCCTGAAATCGGTTTCTTTGACTCAGCTCGTGGTTGTTGCTCTAATCTAAAGGAACTATGGACTAATATGCTGAGAGGGTTCGATTCCCAGCCGGGCAGAAATTGTCTGGATGTTATTATAAGTATGTATAATAACATCCAATCAAGATAAAAGNTGGCGTCACATTTAGTTTTTTTTCATTGTGGAAGTTTCTTCACCCAGATGAACAAAGTGGAATAATCCATTCAACGGACTATTCGTAAAACAATTATTAAAATATACCTGTATACCACTGCTACATAGTTGTTGAAGAACTTTGTCAGTTTTAACGGCACTTTCAATGAATTTGTGACACTTGCTTAATAAATGGTAGCAGACGTAACACACCACATGCGGCCTTCCGTCTTTTGTTTTAAGCTGAAAATTTATCAAAATCAAAAATATTTATTCAGTTTAGACCCTTATCACTTTACATGTCTCCTTATCTTTTGGGCCCTACCAGCACTTCGAGACAAACATAGGGCAAGTGCTGAGAATGTTTTAATTATTGCAGTTTATTTACTGTAATTACAAACATATAGGGCTAAAAGTGCTACAGACATAATCATATCATGTGTAGGTAATAGATAAGGCAAATAAGAATTTCCATTTTATAAATGACTAATTTAATATACAATGTCCTGTCATATTGTTTGCTAAATCATGTGAAGAGAAGACGTGTTTGTTCTCTTTGAATCAGAAATAAATAATAAATAAATATCCTTGGACAATTTTTACACTGCATTTATGTAGTCCCAAACTAAGCAAAGCTTGTACTATGGGTAGATACCAGAAGTATATAAACTTACATAAACTATTTTTTTTTAATACAAACACATTACATTGGAAGCACCAAACATTTTTAGTAAATAAACAATACTTACAGGAAATGTTTATGTTGAGAAGTGGCTGCAGCGTTGGAGAATAAGAGCCAATGAGAGCAAATCGGTACATGTAACATTCACACTCAGGAAAGAGACATGTCCACCAGTAACGCTAAACTGCAAAGTTATCCCTCAAGACAATAACGCAAAATACTTGGGCATGCACCTAGACAGGAAACTTACGTGGCAGAAACATATTTGGACGAAGCGCAAACAACTGGATGGAAGGCTGCGGTCACTGAACTGGTTAATGGGACGCCAATCACAATTAAGTCCTAGCAGCAAGATGCTAGTGTACAAAACTACCATAAAACCGATCTGGACTTACGGTATACAACTGTGGGGAACGGCCAGCAACAGTAATATAGATATCCTGGAGAGATTCCAGACCAAAGCTCTGCGAATAATGTTTGGCATTCCACATTGTATAAGTAATAGATACATATACCTCGACCTCGGCCTAAAAACAGTTCGGCAGGAAATAGCCCAGAACAGCCTGAAATACCAGGAGAAGCTGACCGCCCATGTTAACAAATTAGCGCACGCTCTGAGTGGGGAAGGCGCTCTTCAACACACCCGGCTAAAGAGAAATGACATACCGAGCCTACATAAAAGATTTACCACCTGACATCAAGAGAGTCGTGTGAAATGAATTTTCATACAAGTATGGCTCTCGAGGAAAACATAATCTGAGGAATCAACCAAAGAAGTGGCTTATTGTTGAAAAAACAGATTGCCATGAAGCAGAATCATCAAAAAAAAAAAAAAATTATAAGTATGTATCTGTCGGCCGTTTGGTGTAGTGGTTCAGAACGGACTACTATGCCGAGAGGTCCCGGGTTCGATTCCTGGCCGGGCAGAAATTGAAATGATGAATTTTAATTTCTGTGACGGGTCTGGGTGTTACTATGTATAATATGTATGTATTTAAAATAAAAAGTATATAAGTATTATATCCGTTAAGCTAGCACCCATAACACAAGCATATTAATTGCTTACTTTGGGGCTAGATGGCGCTGTGTGAGATTGTCCAAAGATATTAAAGAAAGATATTTAAAAAGTATAATAAGTAGTTTATTTGTTAAGGTAGCACCCATAACCAAGCATATAAGTTGCTTACTTTGGGGCTAGCTGGCGCTGTGTGAAATTGTCCTAAGATTTATTTATTTATTACTAGCTGACCCGGCAAACTCTGTTCCGCCTTAACGGCAATAAATAAGCAAATCTTTCCTTATTTGCTCACCGTTTAGACCTACCCTGGACTACGACAAACATTGTAAAACCAAAATCAGCTCAATCGGCCCAGCCGTTCTCGAGTTTTAATCAGACTAACGAACATCAATTCACTTTTATTTATATAGATAGATATAGATTATCAGTTATTACTATTAAAAGAAACAAACCTTAGCGTAGCAGTAGTCGAGCATCTTCTCGAACAGATCCCAGTTGTCGACTTGTCCGTCCTTCATGTACGTCTGTGCCTCCATGCCGGGCCGGGCCACGTGCAGTTCTGTCACGTCTATGTAGTGCCGCAGTTCGTTGCCCGCTTTTGTGCCTGTGGGTATAATTTATTACGGAAACAAATAGCATGAATTGATACATGAGAACTTAAAAAATAAAAACAGTTGTTAGTGTCCTAACGAATATTAGTAATAAATAAAATAGTGGACTGTATAAAAATAGGTTGCTGTAATTCTCGCCAGCCTAATTACAATAAATTATGAGAGTACGCGGTATTCGTGCGACGACCGTGGTGTCCAAAGGCGAGTGTGTGACCCGAGCGCAGCCGATGATGACGCTGTCGGCCCGAGGTGACGTTAGTCATCGTACGCCGCCCGCACGTCTCCTCCCGCGCGTTGTTGGGTTCCCAACAACAGTACAGTAGCCTAATCATTTTCCACAGATAAACGTTACAAGTTGATCGAAAGTTATGCAGAGCGCAAGCAACTTAAAATCACATAAAATGCACAACAAAATGTTACATTGTTATGTGCACTAAAAAAATAAATATTGAAAGCTATAGTTTTAAAAATACAGTAGAATCCGATTATAATGATGCTCAAGGGACTGATGATATTCATACTATCCGGATGTCGTACTAAAGAAGTAATAATATTTCTCAACCAAACTAAGTATACTAAAAGTGGTTGGTCGTTTCGCCTGCCTCCTGACACATTGTGTATATTCTTGTTTTAGATAGTCCCTCAGTGGATAAGTGCTTGTTTAAACTGCAATGTCCAGTAGGGGCTCGAACTAGGAAGCACATTTTGGTCCTACTCAGTATAAAGCACAGCTCAGTTATTAAAACACTCATATTTTAATCAATAAACAAGATTTATAGATGGCCTACATTTGGTGACCTCATTTAATACTTTAGGAACGTAAAAAAAGGGCAATGGTATGTTGTCACGGGATACCCAAAGTAGTTGACACATTTGCATGCATTTTATGCAAAAATTGCATGACTTTGATTCAAAATCCACTTCCTATCACGAAGATAATCACATAAATGTCTAACGATTAGTAAATTTGCAGCAATTAAGCTTATTATTGCCTAAAACTCATTAATACATAAAAAAAAGATTGCATAAACACCATGACAATTTTTGTGGTATTTTTATGATTTTTACGATAAAATACCTACCGCTCTGAGTGACATTCCCATCAGGAACCTTCTCTTCGGCCTCAGGGATGTGAGTAGCCGGTCCTACGCCAACCACGGCAGGAATATCAGCCTTTGGAGTGTCCTCCTGAGCGTAACCCACTCTGAGCGAGTGGTGCCCAGGATCGAACACTAGTGCACCTATTTCATCACCACCGTACAACATCCCGTTCGGGCCACTCATTTTTCACGGCTCACCAACACAATTTAATGGAAAAAATACAATGAGAAGAGAGAAAAGCTTCTTCTTCTTCTTCTTTTATTGATGGCGATGAACTTGTGCTTTTTCGCCACTGTTCCGCCAATGTCACGTGCGCAGCTTTTACACAGTGATAGAGACAAATAAAATAAAATAAAATAATTTAACTACAAGACTAAGCGAACTTATCGACCTAAAACAAAAAAGACATCACAAATCACAATCACGACAAGACAACACAAAAAAGACGAAACACACAAAAATTTTGTACAGCAGGGGTTGGGGAAAGGGTTGAGGGATGGGGGTGGTTTGAAACGAAAGAAAAAAAGAAAAAAAAAATGTCACGGGGGATTACTAAATTTCGCAAGGCCAATTTTTTCCTTACCTACAAATTAATTTTGTTAATATTAATGAATTTTGCAAGTGAATTTAAAATAGGACAGTTAATGGTGTTAAGTACACATTTAATATTAGAGGGACGGGGGAAAGTTTTAGGGAGAAAATCGTATAAAGAGGATCCAATTTTAGGACAATTAAAAAAGATATGGTTGGCAGTTCCTTCATCCAGGCCGCACTCGCAAATGGAGCTATCTCTAATGCGAATTTTCGCGAGGTGGACAGGGGTGCACGCATGACCAAGGCGCAGGCGACAGATGATGGAGACAGTTCTTTTTGGTAGGTTCTGATGTCTAAAAAACCAAGGTTTTGAAGGGATATCCTTTTGTATATCAGCGTAATATTTACCGACCATTCTTTTGGAATTTTCCCAATGAGTATTCCACGATGAGTATAAGTGGTTTCGAGGGAGAGCGGAGGCGTCATGGGCAAATAACCTATAGTGATCCAGCGAGCCAGTAGATGTTGCAAGCTTAGCGCATGAATCAACTGTTTCGTTGCCTGGGATACCTCGATGGCTTGGGATCCAGGTTAAGACGATATTTAATCCCTCTAGTTTGCATTTAAAGAGAGCTTCTCTAATTTGAAAGATAATGGGAAATTTGGTTTTTGATTTAAAGGGGTTAGATAAAATGGCTTGAAGACAGCTTAGAGAATCGGTGAAAATCAAAGAGTTGTTAAGACGATGGGAGATAGAGTATCGGATAGCCTCTAATATTGCGACTGATTCTCCGGTGAAAACTGATGTTACTGGGGGACATTTAAAACTTAATGCTATTTTGTACGCAGGTATCCAGACAGCTGCGCCAGTGCAGCCACCTTCGTCCAGCTTGGAGGCGTCAGTGAATATCCTGGTCCAGCCTTGCCAGTGCTCGGAGACAATATTAACAAATTCTTGACCTGCTGAACAGGAATTCTTATTTATGCCAAAGTTTAAAATAATTGGGGGTTGATAAAGTAGGGATTCAAAGCTGTTTGTGAAAAGGGGATTTAGAGGAATTTTTTCAATTGGAGTGGGTAGACGGGTAAATTTCTGGTAACTTAACAGAATGCATGGCAAATTTCGAGAGGGATCAGAGCTGCTAAGTGAAGAGAGTAGAGTTAATTTCTCATTTAACGGGTGAGAGGAGTTTTGAGAAACCTTTATATAAAATCTGTCACAGAGATACTGTCTGCGCAAATAGAGGGGAGGCTCCACACACTCGACTTGCAGAGCATTAATAGGTGAGGATTTCATGGCTCCCAATATTATGCGAAGACATTTAGACTGTGTTTTATTGAGTTTCTCGAGGACTGCTTTGTTACATGGATCTAAAAGGAATGAAGCGTAATCAAAATGACTACGAACAATAGCATTATACAAAAGTTTTTGGGAGTAAGGGTGAGCACCCCACCAGGTACCCGCGAGGGCTCGGAGGATATTCAACCCTTTTTCAGCTTTTCCGAGAATATAATTAAAATGCGGAATACCTGTTAGTCGGGTGTCTAAAATTAGGCCTAAAAATTTCACTTGGTTATCACATGGAATGCTATTGCCGTTTAGTGATATGTCTAGATCTGGAACAAAACGTTTTCGAGTAAAGGTGACACAGCAACATTTTGGGACGGATATTGATAGTCCGTGGTCTGTCATCCAGTTATTCAGGTACTCTAAAGCAGTATTTAAACGAGAGCTTGCTTCGGGAATAGACTTGGAGGAATAATATAGGGCAATGTCGTCCGCGTACTGCAGAATGCTGCAAAAAGAGTCCACTGTCCTGTTGAGGTCATATGTATATATGTTATAAAGCAGGGGACTAAGCACAGACCCTTGCGGGAGGCCTTTCCAGATTAAACGAGGAACAATGGAATCCTGGAATCTCACTGCAATTGACCTAGACATCAATGAGTTACAGATGAGACGCACCAGTTTCTCCGGGATACTCAGATGAAGCAGCTTTTGCCTGAGTAATGGGAGCAAAACATTGTCGTACGCAGAGGCAATGTCCAGAAAAACCCCAACGAGATATTCTTTATTTTTAAAGGCTACTCGGATATCTGTTGTCAATATACTTAAACTATCAAGAGTGCTTAAGCCTTTGCGGAAACCAAATTGCGATAAGGGAAGGATATGGTTAGATTCCAAATGCCATTCAAGACGATTTCTAATCATGTGTTCTACTATTTTAAGAAGGACGGAAGAAAGAGCTATAGGGCGGTATGAGTTGTGATCTGAAGGATCTTTTCCTGGTTTGGGTATTGGAATGACAATCTGTTGTTTCCAAGCTTCCGGAAGAGAGCCTTGATCTAGGAACGAGTTAATAATTTTAAGGAAGTACGACTTAGCTCTTTCTGAGGATTTAATTATAAAGGAGTAAGGGACACCATCAATCCCTGGCGATGAATCCTTTAAACCGTCCAAGGCTGACAAAAGTTCTTCAAAGGAAAAGGGCCTATCTAAATAATTGACATGGGGAAGGAAATTACTAGGGGATGGGAAACTATCTATAAATGGGACAAAGGGAGGAGCCAATTTATCAGCGAAATCATTAAGCCAAGTAGCGGGATCGTTTGATGGAGAATTTAATGGGATTAAAGACGTACGGTAACGTTTAATTTGTTTCCATACTATAGAGGAAGGGGTCCTTGGGGACATGCTCTCACAGAACCCAATCCACCCTTTTCTCTTCTTTTTGGCTAAGAATTTCCTGGTTTGGGCAGCCGTTTTTTGGTAACAAATGTAGTTCTCCATGGTCATTGACCGGTTGTACCTTTTTTCAGCTTCTTTTCGTTTTTTGACAATGGCAGTACACTCAGCGTCCCACCAAGGGGGTGATATCTTATAGGACGGGTTTTTTAAAGGGATGTGTTCTTCTGCTGATGATTGTAGGATGTTTACAAAGTCAGGGTAGACAGAAAGAGCATTTTCATTAGAAACGTTGGGGAGATCTTTTAATTTTTCGTTGACTGACCCATAAAAAGCTAGCCAGTCGGCGTTATTTAATTTGAATTTTAGGAGAGGGGGGAGGCGGTTAGTTGGAGTGTTATTATCAGGTAGTGAAATTAAAATGGGATAGTGATCGCTACCGAACGTGCTATTAAGGACGCTCCATGAGAGAAGCGAGGATACATTTGGAGAGCAAAAAGAAACATCAACGGCAGAAGCTGGATTTTGAGTAGGAGCACACCTTCTGGTTGGACAGCCATTGTTCAAAATACATAGATCTAAATCATCCAAAAGGTCCAAGAGTAATGATCCAGAAGAGTCGGAGTGATACGAGCCCCATGAGACATGGTGAGCATTAAGGTCGCCCATAATGAGGACTGGAGGAGGAAGGGATAAAATGGCAGAGCGCAATTCATTAATGGAGGAAGAGTTAGGACGGGGGATATAAACAGATAGGAAGGATATGTCAAAAACTCGCACGGCCACGACGTTAATGTCTTGGCTATGCGAGGGGAGGGGAAGTTGACTATAGCGGAGAAAGCGCCTTACAAGTAAGGCACTTCCCGCGTAACCATCACTTCTATCATCCCGGAGGCACGCGTAGCCTGATACACGGAAGTGTGATCCAGGTACGAGCCATGTCTCCGAGACGGCTAGAACCGATGGGGAGTATTTGTTTATTAAAAAGGTTAATTCATGCTTTTTGCGTCTAATGCTTTGGCAGTTCCATTGAACTACCTTTTTGTCCATTATTAATATCGGTTATTTGGGAGATTTGGGAAAGCATTTGTGCAACGTTGGACGGTAGGGCGATTTTACGACTGGAAATAATACTGATGATGAGGGAGAGGACCATCTCCAGGAGGCCCTCATCACCAGGGGAAGAGGAAGAGGAAGATCCACTATTCAGAGCGCAACCATTAGGAAGGGAAGAAGCACAATTGCCAATAATGGCTTGGTGTGCCTGCTTGTCATAACCCTTATCTAACGGCGCGTGAGAGCGGGGAGTGCGAGGGATGGACTTTCTGTAAGAGATGGTTTGGCTTGAGGATGGAGAGTGGGGTTGGGATAGTTGGAAAGTGGGGCTCATGGTTTGTGAGGACGGAGATTTAGTGGCATCTGCGTAGGACTTGCGGACTGGTTGGAATTGGGAGGAGGCCTCAGAGTAAGAAATATTGTCCTGAGACATAGTTATTTTAATTGCCTTTTGGCGGGAATGCTCTGGACAGGACTTGTTGACCGCAAAATGTGGGCCTAAGCAATTGACACAAGTTGCTTTACCTTCCGAGACGTCGCATTCTTCTGCTGGGTGGGGTTGGGTGCACCGATAGCATCTGGGTTTCGACCTACATTGTGCCTTAACATGGCCAAATCGGCAACAGTTAAGGCATTGAATTGTTGGAAGCTGGTACGTCTCAACTGGAATCGAATTGTGGCAACAGAAGACTCTTTGAGGAAGAACTTGACCCTTGAAAGTCACCACAACAGTTTGTGTGGGGACCCAGGATGACTGACCGTCTCTAACCTGCTTCCTGTTGAGGCGGCGGGCCTTCAAAAGAATGCCGCAACCGTCTGGTGTTGTCAAAGTTTCTGCGAGCTCCTCCATGGTCCAGTCAGTGGGGATGTTCCTGATGAGACCCATGCGGGTCACGTTATAAGTCGGTATCGAGGCAACGTATTTGTACAATGGAAGAATTTCGTTATTCAGGAAATTGTTAGCTGCGCTGGGTGAAACAAATTCGACTGAAATTCTGTTTCTTCCGATTTTTTTAACTCCGTCCAAAACTATACCCTGGATTCTGTTGGTAACCAGAAACTTACCAAATCTCATTGGTTGGATGAATACTGGGGAAGAGGGATCAGTTTCCATATGAGACACGTGAACTAGGAACGGGCCTTTGTCTTGGTCACTATATGTTTTGGGGGCAATGACTAGCGAGGGGTGAGTGTACACCTGTTGATTGATTTGAGGTAAGGAACCATCGGTGTTGGTTCTTTTAGCTGGCTCGGAATCGCCTGTCGTGTCAAGACGGCGTTTGGTAGCCGATTGTGAAAATAATGGCTGGGATAATTCCATTGGGGCGGCCTGGTCTGGGGGATCAGGCGGGTCGGGAGGTATGACATCCATGCTGATTTACTTTACTTACCAAAAATACACGAAAGTTAATATACCACCACCTTAGTTTTATTAATAAATAAGCTTAGAATAAGATTACTGTAGAAAACCACACTAAAATTTTCAAAATAAACGAAAATTTCCGACACACGTGTAGCCACTGACACTCGCGAGACGGAACTCCCAGCGACGCGTCTCGCGGCTTTCATCGATTTTGAAGGTTAGGTTCAGTGTTGCAAAGTTTGAAATTTAATCACCCATAAAAAAGTATTATTATCAAATTCATATTAATAAATTTACACTTTTAATGATTTTTTACCTACTAAATATTGAAATGAATCAATTGTATTCGTTTTCAGAAGTACTAAAACATATAACAGAAACTACGGTATGTTATAAGTTTCCCTATTGATTGGGTAAATTATCATCAGTGATACCAGTCTAGTGCACTAAAATGCGTTCAAGCAATTATTAGTCATTGCGAATATGTGTTAATTTTTTTCTTGAATACAATAACTACAAGATTAAATAAAATTAATATCTGATACAAATATTGTGTAAATGAAATATTATTCATTGTAATCCAAAATGGTAATTAGTTTTATTTCACGCCTGGAAAAATATTTGCTTGTTGAACGTTTCAGAATAAAAGTGACAGCTCCCAAAAAATTCGATATCAAAAATGACGTGGAGAAATAGGTTATGAGTTTGTGTATTAATTTATTTACAATTAATATTAATTGAACTAGTAGTGAAATATATTTTAGACCCATCTTAGTTATATAACACACAAAATGATTGATATAACGGATACCCAGAGTGAGTATTTCATAAACTTTATCAGTAAGTTAGTTTGGGGGTTTATTTTGTCAAAATTTAAGTGAAACAACTGGAAACAACCCTGTTTATCCTTTCCTGGAACGCTTTATTAGTTAATCTCTTCATTAATTATTCGATAAGTGTGTTAATTATCATTTAAAATCCGTTTGGATAGTTTTTGAAGACTTCACCAAATACTTAGAAATCTGACCTTACGCCCACTATTTTTGGTCATATCTTTTAAATTACATGCATTTTGTGGCTATTATATGTATTCTTAATACCTAGTTAAGTTCCTAACATGTTTACAAGTTATGTTTTCACAGTAAAAGTACATAAATTGTGATGCAAGCAGTTGTAATCTTCAATTGTCAGCAATTCAGCATCTATGTATTGGCCATTTTGTGCTAAATATTGTCCTAAAGCCATTCCTCTTCTTCTACTCCTAAACCAAGCATGCTATGGAAATTATAATAATAACAAAAAACAATAAAAATTAATAAACAAAATATGTATACAGAATATGTTTACCTAACATAATATAAATAAATAAATAAATGATTCTTTATTCAAGTAACCAGGACTCAGTTTGTTAGTAACAATTGCACTTAAAAACTATGTTAGTTGAAACAGGATGTAAAATTAATTGAATTTAGATTTAGATTTAGAATTGAAATAAGTATCATAATAATACTCATTTCAATTCCAAACCCACAATTAAGTGTGAGGTTATGCATACATGAGTCATCCCTAAGGGATGCACAATGTAGTAGTAATGTAGTCTACAATTATTATTTGCTGCCTGTTTTCTGGTCCATATTCCAATGATATCACCAAATGCTCTTTGTGAGGATGGAGTAGATTTGCTAGATCAAAATAATGTGATTATCGAGAGAAAACATATTTGAGAGAATCCTGACCATATGGCAACCCTAGGATGGAGGAATGGATGGATGTGTGTTACTCTTTCTTTCATGAAAAACTACTGACACAATATTTAATTTGATAACAGAGTACCTATAGAGAAATTTTCTTTCATGAAAGAAAATTACTACTACTAAACAAATTTTATGAAATTTGGTAAAGACACAGTAATTTAAACCCTTGGGCTTACTTAAAAGCTCATATCATATTTAACATGGATAATTAATATGATTTTTGATGATTTCAGAAATCGGCGTCGGCCTGGCCGGCTTCGGTATGACGTTCCTCTTTCTGGGCGTGTTACTGTTGTTCGACAAGGGATTACTGGCTATTGGTAATGTAAGTAATTAATTTTTAGTTCAATTTTGATTTAAAATAGAAGTTTAGCACGGGATTAGCCTTCCAAACTTCCAACCATTTAAGTATTGACATAGTTATTATAATTGAACCATTGGAATGAGAAACAAGCTTTAAAGACCATCTAGTTACTGATTAATTGTTCCTATGTGGAAAGCTATATAATATTTAAGAGGTGTATATGTATAAGCACGGCCGTCAGATGCCCCCTTTACATTTCATTGTTAAGTGTCTAAGAAAGTAAGGGTCTCTAAAATATTATTGGGGTGCAAATTAACCTGACCATGTATGTGTATAAGCAATTAGGCGACCAAGCCTATGCTACGACCAACGAAATAATAATGTACACACGGCCACACTGTTAACTGTCCATTTCCGTTTTTGCTCTTGCTCTAATCAAATGGCGATTCTTTGCGATAGAACGAGATGATATGACTGGCAATGGGCAGTTAATAACACTGTTGCCGATAGTACGAAAGGTCGCGCGACCAGGCCGCGTAATGCGCGCACTTAGTGTAGGCGCACACTAGGCGACACGCGACAGCTCGGCGACTAGACGCCTATAATTCTAGACAATTTTATAAATGACGTTCTGGCGAAGATGTTGGAGTAAGCGATAACGCCTTCAAGGATAGACCGAAATTCGCGTGGGTGAAGCCGTGGGTAAAATCTAGCAATCAATAACTTTAACTTTCTGTGTTTTATTTTCTCCTTTTTGAGTTTCAAAGTAAAAAAAAAGTATCATATCTATAGAACACAGACATATTTTTGCCACGTCTTTCGCTGTAGTGTCATTGAAACGTACTTCGTTACAGCGTCTTTCGCCACTATGTTCGGGATCCCCTTAATGAAGATGCTTTTGTTCGTTCGTTCGTTTCAGCTGAAAGGTCCACTGCTGGACATAGGCCTCCCCCAAGGATTTCCACAAAGACCGGTCCTGCGCCGCTCGCATCCAGGCACCTCCCGCGACCTTCACCAGATTGTCGGTCCACCTAGTGGGAGGCCTGCCCACGCTACGTCTTCCGGCTCGTGGTCGCCACTCAAGAACTTTCCTGCCCCAGCGGCCATCAGCTCTACGAGCTATGTGCCCCGCCCACTGCCACTTGATTTTAGCGATTCTGCGGGCTATGTCAGTCACTTTGGTTCTCCTACGGACCAAGATGCATTGCGAACTTATTGGCCACTTTGGGTGTCACGAACTATTTGACGCTGACTGTACGAAAAAGTACCTTGTAGCCCTCCCATAACTCAGTGTCGCATTAGAAATTCACACACACACGGTAATCAAAATAATGTGCCCATTATCCACTGCGGTATCAGTACTCAACGGTCGAATAACCTTTAGTAGTACTACGCAAGCAATGGAAACTGTTTACACATAAAACGTCGCTGCTGTCATCATTGCAATTAGTGTGTTGTTTTTGGGCATATTGCTGTGACACTGGCCACGCCCCCTTTTTACATCTCCCTTTAGTTTCTGTGATCTGTGTCCGAACCTTTAGGTGTAATAGTAACTTGAATTTTACTATCCTCAGATCCTGTTCATCAGTGGCCTGGCTTGCGTCATCGGTCTTCAGCGGACGTTCTTCTTCTTCTTCCAGCGGCACAAAGTGAAGGCCACGGTGGCTTTCTTCGGAGGCATTCTTATAGTGCTGGCCGGATGGCCTATGATCGGGATGGTGGCTGAGATTTACGGGTTTCTCTTGCTGTTCAGGTATGCTTAGAGCTGTCTTTTAGATAATAACTAACGTCCGTATTCACAAACATTACTATGAGGTCTCATAGTGCGCGTGGACGCAAAGCAATCACACACGAACGAACCAATCACAGAGCTCCATTCAACGCTGTGCGTTCAATTTGCTGATTCATCTAAGCAAGCATCGTTTGTGAATACGGTGGTAAGGATTCCTGGGCATTTAAGTATCAGAGGCCCAAAATAATGGAAATTGCAAAATTATACCACACTATTGCACGCGGCTTCACCCGCGTGAAATTTAGTTTGACACAGTTCGTTATAATTATAGATGTTATTCTGGGTTATAAAACAACTAGCTTTCCGCCCGCGGCTTCGCCCGCGTGGAATTTTGTCTGTCACAGAAAAACTTTATCGCGCGCGTCCCTGTTTCAAAAACCGGGATAAAAACTATCCTATGTTCTTTCCCGGGACTCAAACTATCTCTATGCCAAATTTCATCTAAATCGGTTGCGAGGTTTAAGCGGGAAAGCGTAACAGACAGACAGACAGACAGAGTTACTTTCGCATTTCGATGGCTCCTACGTATAAGGGCGAAACTGCCGCTTACGCCTTTTTCCAATTATTTAAGCAATGATTTCACTTTGCTCTAATCTATAACATCAGTAAGAAAAAAAAATTTTTTTTCCATTAGATACAAAATAAAATTTTAGGCAAATAGGCGTATGTGCAAAACTACGCCACGTATAAAGCCCAATCATACGATTCGTCAATCTATACGAGTAGTCGCTTACATAAACATATATTTTTTATAATCCAAATCTTAAATAAAGCCATGAAAATATTTAGCAAATTGTTTTNAAGAGGGATCAGTTTCCATATGAGACACGTGGACTAGGAACGGGCCTTTGTCTTGGTCGCTATATGTTTTGGGGGCAATGACAAGGGAGGGGTGAGTGTACACCTGTTGGTTGATTTGAGGTAAGGAACCATCGGTGTTGGTTCTTTTAGCTGGCTCGGAATCGCCTGTCGTGTCAAGACGGCGTTTGGTAGCCGATTGTGAAAATAATGGCTGGGATAATTCCATTGGGGCGGCCTGGTCTGGGGGATCAGGCGGGTCGGGAGGTATGACATCCATGTTAATTTACTTTACTTACNATGATTACTATAGAAAACCACACTAAAATTTTCAAAATAAACGAAAATTTCCGACACACGTGTAGCCACTGACACTCGCGAGACGGAACTCCCGAGAGAAAAGCAAACGAAGCGGCGCGCAGCGCGATGTTTGTGGATTTGACAACTTTGACAGCGTCACCATGACGTTTTGTTTTTTTTTTGTTCCGAAAGCTAGTGGTTGCTTTTTTTGTGTAATGGAACGTAAAACGGGTTTTAAGGGTTTTTTTATTTGCATTTTTTTTTAATTACTTTAATAATTTATCCGAAAGAATCCTCAATTATAATAAGTATTTACTTGATTTGGAAGTCAAATTATATCAAATCGTGTTTATTAAAGTAGAATAAGAAATAACTTCTCAATTTATTAGAAACGCTTTCCGCTATAATCGGAACGTTTTGTGTTTACGCCATAGATTAAAAACCATAGCTTATATTGCGTTTTGTTTATGGTTTTATACGGGCTTAGAGCAGAAAGTGATTTATGTAGGATTTAATAATTAGTTAATAGAAATCAAAGACTAATGTACTGCACAATTATTTAATACAACACAAACTTTTATGCGAGTGTATACCATCAGCTACAAAACACCGAGATACAATAAAGATATTTGTTGCTTACAATCTGTGAGATCAATTCTCCTCAATAATAATAACTATTATTAATTTAGCTAATTAATAATGTGTTACAATACCAAACCATCAAAGACCAGCTTTTCTAAAATCTCCACATTATTATCCAACTATGTATTTAACTGTATTCATGTTAATACATTCAACAATAATAACTATAAACTACTTTAAATATTGTAGGTATGTAGTAGTAAAATGGAAACGTCGTAACTACCATATAGTAGGTACATATAAATCAAAAAGGTTGGACACACGTACAGAATATTATATTATTATTCGTATTTAGGTATAGACTTAGGGGGCTAGGCACTAAGGTTTCTTTCTAATATCATTTCAGTACCTATTAGTTAAGTAAGTACTTACCTAAGTAACTCAAAAATAATATCAGGTATTTTACGTATAAATAATTCTAGTAAGTTTTATTATTTATATTGTAGAAAAATATAAAAAAAATATAGAAACTCATAAAAGATCGAGGATAAATGGCTTTAAAATAAAAAAGGAATACATTTTTAAAATTTTACCACCAGTATTTACTGTCCTTATTCATTTAATAGTACAAAACACTCAGTACGAAACTAATATACCTAATAAGGTATAATATGTAATATTATGTAGGAGCTACAATACAAGTAATTACATCCCTACTGTAGGTATTTTGAAGTATTTTAAATTATATTAGGTACTTACAAGAGTTACAAGTGGGATTGTTGACCAGCCAGCTATACTTGATACTTATTCAGTATAAAATGATGATGACCTATGTAAGTATAAGTACCATCCTAGACTGCATCTCACTTAACATCAGGTGCGATTGCGGTCAATACCTGCCTTGTTCTGTATTAAAAAAAAACTAAATTTTATATTTTTATTCCTTTAAATTGACAAAGTGATTTTTAAAGTTACAAAATATCTTCTCAATTTCGTGACATTTTCGCGCGATTGTTTTGGCATGGAAAACGAGAGATTGTGTGCTAAGTTTAAGAATAATAATCTATTCCAACTTTATCCATTCTGTAGCAAAACATTTTAGAAAAAAAAATCAGGATTGGATTTTTCGATGTAAATTACATACAATAAGCCACTAAAGTTTACATTTTGTGGGCTTAATACATTAATAGGTATAGGCAGCTAGTATCTAAATACTAAACATGAATTTTATTATAGATTGACTTGAAACATTATACAGTAGATACGAGTAAATATTATTCATGTAAAAATACTCTTTCCATACCTACATTACCATAGTTTTAAAGTTTCATAATCATTGACACATCTTATAGGTCGCAGAACGAGAGCTGAGGCTAAGTCTTATTCACACTGAAGTATCAATTAAATTCAGAATACACAAATCAGTCAGAATACGCAAAACGTCAGTGCGACAAGCGTAAGATCGTTCCATCCACGAAGACGCGCCCCACCATTCTTCCACTAATGTTTGAGTGTTATCGGTACACGCTAAATTATCCATGAGTGCACACGCACACTACAATAATGACGCTCGGATTGCTCGGATCAAACTCCCCGCACCCCGCGCGACCAAGACGAAAAATTAGTGGGGCGCGTCTTCGTGGATGAAACGATCTATAATACATATATGTATAAATCTTTGCTTGTGTTGATCGCCTCAACTCTTGCTGCGCGACCTATACCTATTTTAAAGCCTGGTTTCCACCAAAGCGGAGCGGAGATGAGACGAGCGGAGAGGAGTCTAGAGGAGAGACGTGCGCCTAGACGAGAGATCTCCGCTTCGCAGTCAAATTCTATAGAAAAATTAGTCAGCCCGACACGTCATCTCCTCTCGTCTCCGCTTCGGTGGAAACGGGGCCTAAGATACTACACCATTCCGAATTATTTCCTACTAAAAATGATTCGAAGTTAAAGTAGGCAATAGTTAATTAACTATTTATAATTAAAATACATATTATTATACAAGTACCTACCTAAATTACGATTTACACTGAAAGCTTGCTAGAATAATAAATTATGTTAAAATATCAATCACAATAATTGGAAATAATGACATCAAAATAAACGAAATCGTATACCTACTTACCGGTTTGAATTTTACTGTATTAAAAACGTATTTTGAAAATGCAATTTAATTGTTCAAATCACTAGGTACGTAAGTATAAATAAAATCTCTTTTAATATTTAATATTACTTCTACAAAAGTGTATAAGTATACATATATTGTAACATACACATTACATTAGTGTTTTATATACAAGGTTTTTAGAAACATACAAAGTTAGCTCCTAAACATTGTGTAATTCCATACAAATAACTAATTGTTACATAATGCTTGTGTATTCTAATACAAATAGATAGTAAATATTATTTTTAAATGGTAAATACAAGTGACTCAAAAATTTAATCAGGGACAAGTCACGGCATAAAAATGTACAGTCCCCACGGTCAATACAAAATTTACTCCTTTTATAAATTTGGAAGAAAAAGAAACGTGGTAGTATAAACTACATTATATCAAATAATACATTTACTGTGCTAAGGTACGAAACACACAATTTTACATACTACAACTCCTATGTCAAAAACATAACCCTCCTTCTGGCGTCGGGTAAAATTACATATTACTCAACGACAGAACCGATCTCGTAATATTTAGGCCAAGTTTTAAAAACCTTTTTGTATTAGTTCAGTAGATACGGCTAGCACGAAAAACTTTCGAGTTTCGAGTTGTTTGCGTATTCGAATCGCCATCAAAAGATTTAGTACGAAAACTACAACAGCACTTTGTGAACGTGTCGTAAAGTGAACTTAGTATGAGAAATGGTTGCAAGAAACTCATTTTGAGAATCAAAATTGACACGTTATCGTTAAATTCTAAGGTTGAGTATCGAATTTTGTCGAATACGCAAACGATTCGAAGACGAAAGTTGTTCATGCTAGAGGTACAGGGGTCTCCAAACTACGTCCGCGGGCCATATCCGGCCCGCCACTGCCATCAATTCGGCCCGCGACAGTTTAAGACTAAGCCTATGTTTGCATAGGTGGGCAGAAAAATGAGAATTGTTATGGTCCTTGTCCTACTTAACCTTTCGAAAAAAATATTATGGCTTCAAAGTTTGCAGACCCCTGCCCTAGACAAGACGCAAAACGTGATAGATAATGTCGAAAGACGGTCGAAAAACGGATTCGATTAAAAAGTGTCACTTGTCTAGAACTACTGGATAGCGTCGCTGCAGAGTAAGGGTTAAAAGATAGTAGCCCTCATTGTCTATAGTACGGGACTATTCCCACCTCTCTTTCCCACCACTGCCACTCCAGTGTAGCCAGGATCTACAGCTTGACCGCCAACAACCCAACCAATGAAGGTCAAGTTTGTCCCGGGGGAAAGTTAAACTGTCATTGGACCCGCAACGAAATCAATCAGAAGAGCATAGGTCGAGAAGTTCGAAGTTAAGGCTCGACTTCCCTCCGTTGCAAAGCGGATGACAGGTGACAAACAAAGGTTAATAAACCTTTATGAAAAAAATATGCACCACGGACAATAAATTGACTATAGTAGTGCACTATTTTAGAAGTAAATAAAAAAAACATCTTTAAGGGCATCAGATTAGCAGACTAGTGCAATCCTCTCTCAACCATATCTACCATCCAAACAATTGATAAATTCTCAAACTTCAACGAATCCCCCCTCCAAACTACCCCTTTTTATAAACGCCCTTTTGACCATAATTCTTTACATAGGTACTCGAAATTTCCCCAACAATGGCCTTTATTTAGTCCAGTCTTTAGCCAAAAGCTCACTCTAACAATTTGACAGTAAACAAAATGAACGGTGAAGGTGTCGGACTGGCCGACTGGACATCCGAGGAATGCCGCTCGTCTATGTAGTCTGGTCTGTGAGCACGTAGAATTTTGTCCAATGACCCCAAGCTACCCATCCTTATCGCTCGCGCGTAATTATGTTGCTGTCGCGCTCGCACACTCACTGCGGGCGCCCGACGTACAGTCGCGACAGCAATATAAATACGCGCGAGCGATAAGGATGGGTAGTTTGGGGTCATTGGACGAAATTCTACCCAAAATTCTACGTGCTAACAGACCGGGCTTTAGACTATTTGACATCACCAATCAATTGACGTACTTTTTAAAACTGTCAAAAGGAGACCCCCCATAGATTATGGCAATGCAGCTGCGGGGTCTAATATTCTTTCCAGAAATGAAAAAACAAACAGTCAACATCAACAAGCATCAGTCTTCGCTCACTGCACACTGCATCCCACGCTGATAGCGCTGAAAAGTGGCGCCGCCCCCAACCCTCCATCGCCGTCGGTGACCCCGGCGAGGTACTTGGCCCTAGTGCAGTCCCCACAAGCACAGCTGTCGGTCAGCGTGCAAAGGCCCCGTGCTGTGGCAATGGCCTCCCATTTAATCTGCTCGTCCACGGTCCCGCTTCTGCTGAGGAGGTTCTAGAAGAGAAAAGTAAGTTAAAAGCAAACCCACCAAGAAAGGAGTTTGATTTTTAAGTCTGCTAAGAGATGGCGCTGTGTGCACGCTAGCTCGCGCGATCGTTATTTTTTGCATTTGTAAATTTATGCCTATTCGTCATACATTTAGAGTAGGCGCACACCGTTGATTTTTACTTGACCGATAGTTGTGTCCGATTTCAAATTGTATGAAGAATCGGCCAAATCGAATCGGCGTAGTGTGCGCACTCTCATACATGCCCATACTGATCAAAAGCCCGACTAAACTATCGGCCGACGAAAAATCAACGGTGTTGCGCCTACTCTTTTGACGCGCTCACTAGTCCCTCGGGACGCAGAGTGAGTGCTCTGTACCATTAATATGCATCTTCAGGTAAAATATGCTACGTTTTACTGCTGAGAATTACTTTAATATGCAAATGCATTTGCAAATGCATATAATCCGGTCCCTGCACATAGGTCAGTGCTAACAGACTAGAATAGCGCTGGGCGCCAGACTTCATTTATAATGTAAAGCTAACCTCAGACATAGCAGTCTAGTTCAAAAGATGATTCGGTTCCAAAATTCAGCCAGTAGTTTAGAAACATTTAATTTCGTAGAGTCCCTTTTTCAATCACATACAGGGTGAGCAAACAGTGATTGTGAGTCGCTCGTAAAGGCAACTTGTTTGCAAAATCACCCTGTATATCTGACAATAAGACGTTGTGGTTCGTTTACTGCACTACTACAAATATGCTACGGGTTCGATCGTCGCAAAATACAAACAAAGGGTTCCATTTTTAACTTTGGAGGTTCGTTCGTTCGTTTCAGCCAAATGACGTCCACTGCTGGACAAAGGCCTCCTCCAAGGCTTTCCACGATGAACGGTCCTGCGCTGCCCGCATCCAGGCTCTTCCCGCGACCTTTACTAGGTCGTCGGTCCACCTAGTAGGCCTGCCTAGTGGTTGGAGGTACGGAACCCCAAAAAGGTTTACGGAAATAAAAAGTCAGTCAAAATGTAAGTTCTCATCTTCTTCTATAATATAAAAATGAATCGCAAAATGTGTTGGTAAGCGCATAACTCAACAACGCCTGCACCAATTTTACCAATTCTTTTTTTTTAAATTATTTGTTAAAGTCCAAGGATGGTTTTTACGGCGAGAAAAAAATCGAATAATTTCCGGGGAAACCCCGGACCCAGCCGCGGGCGGAAAGCTAGCGATGCTGAAGAGTTTCTTTGTTTGAACGCGCTAATCTCATGAACTACTTGGTCCGATTTGAAAAATCGCGTTGGATAGCCTATAGCCGATAGGGATAGAGTAGTGTGCCATGTTGGGAGACCGTATGAATGATACAAGAGTTGTAGTTAGTCTCTGATATTAATCTGTTTATTAACACGGACTACACGTATATTTATACGATATAGATTATAGATAAATGACGTCACAGCATCAGCACTATACGTGATAAATGTGCTGACACTGTGAACGTGATCAAGATAAGATATGAAGAGATTTAGTATTGTGCATACCGGCACAGTACTCCCCCCCTTTAAATAAGAAAAAATAAAATAATGCGCTAATTACAATAACATACATAAATTATCTATACAGGTTCAATGTTCAATCTCTACATACTTACATACAAGAAATAAAAATAATGTGCTAACTAATTACTTATTACAAATTACAATAACTATCTACGTACAAATCATGTGGTGAAAAATTGTGAAATGTTCATAAAGATGAAATTATGTATAACAAAACATAACCACTGGCTTCTTCCTTATCTGGCGTTTTCACAGTCGTGGGTTGCCCTCGCGCAAGCTCGGCGTTACGCGATGGGTGCGCTGTAGTCACAGCGTTCATGCCTTGTGTCCTTGCACATTTCATAAGCGTTATCGGCTTCTGAAGACCAAAGGATAGGCGAATTATTATTCTTGAAATATTCAAAGTATTCAACTTCGATACGCGGCTGCGTAATTTTCTTAATTCCTTAACTGTGTTTCACTTCATCGATTGCTTTGATTTCTGCTCTGTTGGGCGATTCCTTGGCTCGTTATCGGATAACCTAAGAAATATTCGCTCTGGAGGGACTCACATTTTTCTAAATGATTGAATTCCCAAGTTAAGAGTCAGCGTTTTCTCACCGTAAGTGTTTATCTTTGAACCATTCGTGGTATATAACATAATGCTCATTTAGCATTGTTGCTTATCACTTTTACATTGCTCCCGTAACGATTAAAAAACCTCATACCACTTTTTCAGTCGGTAACAATGAGGCGGTTAGACGGGTAGATAGCACAAAAGCCATGCTGGCTGTGCGAATTTTAGTTTCCTTGTTTCGTTTGTTTCCAATCACATGGTTTTTCACATTTTCTGCACACGTTGATACATATTATAATAACAATATCTTCTTACTTGACTAGGCGACCTTGGCCTGTAACTGCTGCGTCGCAAAATTTTCACGGTCATGGCACAATCATTATTTCAATTGCACATGTTATAGCTGTGTTAGCACATTTTCCATTGTTTGGTCTTGAATTTTGCTGATGTTGTAGTTGACTGTTGAACTGCTGAGACTTCATTATTTTTTGCATTCTCTAATATTTTATTAGCGATTTGATTCGTTTGAAGTTCCAAGACTGATTCCAGCTACACAGACGCGGTTGGTATTACCAAAATTCGGGAATACGGATGTGTCAGCGGTACTGGCAGCGACTTCTCGTGGTGTTGTGTTGCACAAAGTTGACATGTCGACGGTGATTGATGTTGATGACACGGATGTGAAATTTTCTCTGCTCAATCGGGGTAACCAATTTGATTCCATGTCAGATGGTGAAAGCTGGCGGAGGCTGATGCCGAAGATGGTGGTGATGGAGGCTACGTCCCACATCACGATGGTTTGGTACGTTTATCTTCGTCGTCGTTCGTCGGGCTTCGTCGGCAACGTAGGCTTCGGTTAATTTGTGGCAACTTCGTCAGGGTCGTCTTCTTCGTCCGGTTCAAATGGTGATTTATCTCGTAATAAAAAAAAAAAAAAAAAAAAAAAAAAAAAAAACATACGGGTCGAATTGAGAACCTCCTCCTTTTTTTGAAGTCGGTTGAAAATATTGCAAAAACGGGAAACATTATTCAAACTATTTTAAAGTGTACGAAGTCGCGGGCACAGCTGGAAAGTTAATGAAATTATATTAATTTAATTAAAATATCTACACAGCAAATCCAATATTATACAATCAGACTTAATCTGGCATTTGCTAATACGATAATCTAGGTTTCTCTATCGTAATTAAAATTGCAATAATGTTATGTTTTGGATCAAATGATTTTTTTTTTATTTCTTTAGCTCAAAGTTGCACAGCGTGCAACGGAAAGGGCTATGCTCGGCGTTTCTTTACGAGATCAAATCAGAAATGAGGAGATCCGTAAACGAACTAAAGTTGCTGACATAGCCCGACGGATTAGCAAGCTGAAGTGGCAACGGGCAGGGCACATAACTAGTACGCAGAACTGACGGCCGATATTGGTTCTGGAGTGGAGGCCATGTAACGGAAAACGCAGCGTGGGACGTCCACCCACAAGGTAGACCGACGACCTCATAAAGGTAGCGGGGAGGCGCTGGATGGGTGTACGACATTAATTAAAGACCTTGATATTGTTTCGAACAAACTAAGAAAGTATTATTGAAAGAAAACACTCCGTATGGGTAAAAAGTGTATATTTTATTTATTTTCTAATATAATTTTTAATACATCAGGTTGCGATTAAATACCGAAGATATTTGTTCTGCATAAAAAAACTATCATAAGATTATTCTCTAGGAAAAAAGCTACTATGTAACATTGACATACACGGGTCGTATGAGATCACGGAATGTCCACGCATGGACCGGTACATACTGTTATAGGATTAACTTTTACATATTAAGGTCTAGTGTTACAAGTCCTTTGTTGGTGGATTCGGATATAATACACGATTACACCCACATCCGAAAATCTTCAATTTTTTGACACGTCCGAAAATCCATTTCGTTGAAATTTGCATAACTTTTTGTGCAGATTCAGGGTCCCTTGCCGCTTTAATGGTGCGTTGCTCACGACAGTCGACGAAGTATTTGCCCGTGACGTCACTAACTTCAGGGGAAACTGCCAAATAGATGCTGGTCTGGGCCGCTTCCCACGGCGTCTTCAAGATCGGCCTTACAAAAGGCCCAATGTACTTAAACAGAGGCATCCTCGACACCACGTCAGTCTCAACCGACCCTGGGTGCAGGCAATTGACCGTGACGCCATATTCTTTCAAATTCTTGGCTAATTCGACAGTCGTTAACATGGTGTACAGCTTAGAGGCGCTGTAAACTTTATGTGCGTTATACTTCTTGCTGTCAAAGTTAAGATCCTCAAGGTCGAAGGCAGCCGAGGTGTGAGCTACGGATGACACGTTGACTACTCGACTCGGCGCGCTGGATTTCAGCAAAGGCGTCAAGAGAAAGGTCAACAAGAATGGACCGAAGTGGTTTGTCTGCATATCGACCAGCAAATCATCCTCAGTGAGCTGGTATCCAGCGCCGAACACTTCAGCGTTATTGATGAGAACGTCCAGGCGGTTTTCGTTCGTCGCGACATACGTTGTAAACTCCTCGACGGATGTAAAAGAAGCCAAGTTTAACGGTTTGAAATACACGTCCTTGTTGCCTGTTTCTTTTTTAATCTTATGTACTGCTGCTTTCCCTCTTTCCACGTTTCTGCAGCCTATAATCACTCTCGCGCCTCGGCTGGCCAAATCCTTTGCTGTCTCGAATCCTATACCTTGACTACCGCCGGTCACTACCACCACTTTTCCAACTAAATGTTTGCTACATTTGTTTATGCCACAGGTTAGTTTGCAATATAACACTACGGAAATATACACGCTGATTATAAGTAAGGTTATTAGGAAAAACATTGTCGATTAGAACGAGACGACAGTGGATAAGTCTTGATTAAAATGAAGCATTTATCTTTAAATTCGTTTAAGTTATCAGCTGATAATGACTCAACGCTTCTTATCGGTAAAGGACGTAGAGGCAGGTGTGTAAAAACTTAAACTGAGATTTTCGATGGTTATTAATTTTTATAATAAAAAAGTTAGCCCGTCGTAAGCTATACTTTTAGTGATGTTTGATACAGCGTCAGTGTAACGAGTGAGAGGGGAACCAACCGTAAGAGAGGGACAGAAGAAAGAATAAGGGAGACGGGACAAGAAACAGAGGGAGACAGGAGATACAATAGAGAGAGACGGAAAATGGAAGAGAGATAGAACAAAAGAAAGAGAAATGGGTGATGAAAGTGAGGAAATCGGAAGAAAAAGAGAGAGAAACAGAATAGAGGGAGCCGAAAACTTTCCCATAAGGAAAGAGCCCATACAAACAGTATTTTATGAGATGGAAGAGACGAAGAAAGGTGACGGAAGACATTCATGAAGACTGGAGGCGACAAGAGAGACATGGAGAGAGCGAGAGAGGAAATGGACAAAATGGAAAGAAGGAAACGAGACGAAATAGAGGGAGAAAAAAATTTGCCACAAGGAAAGAGCCCGGAGCCGTTAGGAGTTTCAGCCGAATGACGTCCACTGCTGGACAGAGGCCTCCCCCAAAGATTTCCACAAAGACGTGGTCACTTACTATGGGCCTCATAAGAAGGCAAGGCCACCCAAAGGGCGATGGAGCGTGTTATGCTCGGAGTTTCCCTGCGTGATCGAATCAGAAATGAGGATAATCCACAGGAGAACTAAATGGTCTTGTTACCAAAAAAATATGATTTCTTTAGCTATCTATCCTAAGCCTTACCTCCATAACCTCGACGTTGGTAGCCTGCCACATATCCTGATCGCGTAGCAGCTTCTCCTTATACTTATTTCTCTTCGGCTTCTTCAGGGTTCCACAATAAACTGATAGGTCCTCGCTAGCAGTCAGCGACGTGTCATCAAACTGCAGGGAATTCACGTCGTACGACGTGGAAGCGTTGTCCAGGTCTTGTTCTAGGGCTAAGGTGGATTCCAGGTCGGCGTAAAGCTGGAGCTGATCGAAATAATCGTCGTCCAGGTGTGAGGAGCAGGTCGCGTCCATTGACGCTGCGCTCTTTAGCGGGTGGTAGTTCATCTGGGAATAAAAGGGATATTATGGTCTTGTGTTTAACTCAGTCAGTAGGTACCTGGGGTATGGGACCGGCACGGCATGACATTGACATATTATGACGTGATAGAGCATGTAAAACTGAAGATCTGCCCCCCTAGACAAAACGCACTTTTTTATCGAATCGAAAATCGAATCCGTCAAAAGTCCATACAAAAAAGGGGCTTTTCTACCACTTTTCGACTGGTTTGCGATTATAATTTGCACTTTGTCCCGTTCGTTCGTTCGTTTCAGCCAAATGACGTCCACTGCTGGACAAAGGCCTCCTCCAAGGTTTTCCACAATGCACGGTCCTGCGCTGCCCACATCCAGGCTCTTCCCGCGACCTTTACCAGATCGTCGGTCCACCTAGTAGGAGGCCTGCCCACGTTACGTCTTCCAGCCCGTGGTCGCCACTCGAGAACTTTTCTACCCCAACGGCCATCGTCTCTACGAGCTATGTGCCCCGCCCACTGCCACTTGATTTTAGCAATTCTGCGAGCTATGTCGGGCACTTTGTCTAGACCCACTGAAGTCTTGCTGACGTTTACTTTGACGTTATAAAAACCCTTCCGTAGCGCTCCCATGCCTCAGGCACTGAGTTAATAGCTAGACCTATAAGGAACACTGAAAATCAGGGTCGTGACTTTCGTTAATATTGTGTATCCTCGCTGTTCAGGTTCCTGAAATACCTACATTCCGCTGCCGGAACGTAGATAATTTTTACGAATAGCGACTTTGTTTTCTATGTAGGTACCTAGTGACTATGACGAACCTAAAGTAAGTATGAAATTGGAAAGGCAGTGTGCAAAGCGTACCTAAATGAAAAAAGTACCCTAAATGAAAAAACTGTGGTACTTACATTGGCATCTTCAATTTGGCTAAAATCACTCCCTCGTCGAATTGGAGAAGAGTGGTCCGAGTAAATCTGAAAACAAAAACAGTTAATACGTCATGTCTCTACAAGTTTAGTAAAAATCTGACTTGTCCTAGGCCAGAAACTAGAAAGAAAGAAATATTTATTACGATTAACATCATTTAGTTAAGGAAAAAGTAGATAGTATACGGAAAAAAAGACAGAAATAGCATAAAAATATTACAAGGAAATAAAAAGTGAACTGAGCAGTGCTGTCCTGTCGCAACAGCGATGCCCATCGCAATGGGACTCCACTGAGCATATGCCGTATTTCAGTGTGCCCCACCATGCCGAGTGGAATGCCATGCCTAACGTAAACTGCATATAAAACCGTTTAAAAAACTGGGTATACCCATACACCTGATGATGAATAACTGCACCTACCCTATAACAAAAACTTACGTCGTCATCATCACTGTCGATATTGAGGGCTGATATATCTGCTGGAGACAGCTCCTCGCCGGTGCCATAGCTTGTGGAGGGAATGGGTGAGCTTGGTGCCATATCTGTGGACAAATCAATAGTTTAGAACCACACCACACATGCTACGGAAGGTATTCCCACCTCTCGTTCCCACCGCTGCAACTCCTGTGTAGCCAGGATCTACAGCTTGACCGCCAATAACCCAACCAGTGAAGGTAGAGTTTGTCCCGGGGGAAGTTCAAACTTCGACGAACATAGGAGGAGTTAGAAGTTACACCACATGCTACTTTTAGCAGCGACGATCGGCGATTTAGTCGCTTTTTAGAAGCTGAATTCAGCGACCACACATTACACAGCACGCTTAAAAACGCTAACGCCCGTATTCACAAACATTACTATGAGGTCTCACAGTGCGCGTGGACCCACAGGGTGACACATGAACCAATCACAGAGCTCTATTCAACGCTGTGCGTTTGATTTGCAGCTTGCAAGCATCGTTTGTGAATACGGACATAAACGCGGCGATTGAGTCGCTTTTCAGAACCTCGACGCAGCGACAGCAGTCGCTAAAACGCGCGATTGGAACGCATGATACCTACAGTCGATTTTGCGATTTTTCGCCGTCCGTCAATGTTAAAAGTGAAAATAAAGTTTTTATTCAGTACTTAGGCCCTTCCAGGGTGCTTATTACACGTCCCAAACAGGTTGCCTTACCACCACTTCGGGACAACATTATGGGCTGGTGCTGAGAACACAGTGGCGGAAGAAACTCAATCACCTTTGTCAAAAGTGCTAGCAAGACGTCCACTGCTGGACATAGGCCTCCCCCAATACTTTCCACAATGGCCATCCTATGGCTGAAATGATGATGATGATCAGTGGCGGCGTAGCATAAGTTGGCATGACATAGTCCGCAGACTTGCCATGCAGATGCGCCAGTGAGTACTAATCTGCGCGACTTGTGTCACCCCCAGATGCTTGGCACCCGGGGCGGACCGCTAACCGCTTATTTATTTATTTATGTCTTACCATGCTCCGAGTTGTGAAGGAGATTCTCAGTCGAGGGCTGCTCTTGCTCACGGCTCCGTGCTTTGAAGAGACCAAACTTCACGGGCGCCATGACAGTCGCAACGGGATCTGTCAAAAACAAAGAATAATGGACTTCTTGGCGGGAAAGTGAAGCTCCTTGTTTAGCCTAGGCGCAGAATGTATAATATTACTCATACCGATTGATAGAGCTCGTAAAGCACTTCAGAATCAGTAACCAGTTTTTCGATATCTTGTATACAGGGTGTCCCAAAAACAATGGATAACCCTGTAACCATCGATAGGCCTCGCTATGGTCTCCCTAACGTCCAATTTTGACCCCAGTAAAAATATCACAGTTTTCAAGATTTTTAAGTTTTAGTACATTTTTAGAAAATTGCCACCTGCTATTACTTTTTCTCATGCCATTTCTACAAATGAGGATACTTTTCAATCTAGTTTTTTTCCTTATCACACACAAGGGATAGTTAGGCTATCAAAAAAAAAAGATTAAAGTTCAACAAACTAGTTTAAAAATATGCAAATTTTAAGAAATTGCAGAGAAGAAGGAAAAATTAATTCATTGTCTAGCACTTTTGATCAGCCATCGTGTAAAAAAAATGTAGGAAGACCATCGTGCCCATTACCTTAAAAACTTCCTTGGTTAATTGAGATTCTAAAAAGGTATCACAAGCCTATGTATTCTGTATTATTTTTATCTTATGGCTACTTGAATAGCAACTAGTATGAAAACTGCAAAAATGAGTTTTTCTCGTAATAGTTAAACTAGGACTGCATACTGGCATTAAATACAAATTGATAATTTTTAGCGTAGGAATTTTAATAAAGCAACATTTTATCATCATCATCATCATCATTGCAGCCATAGGACGTCCACTGCTGAACATAGGCCTGTACCCCAATGATTTTGATTTGATTACCGAAATCTCAGAAACTACAAGTGCTAAGAGCCTCAAATTTTGCATGGGGGTTCCTTTCGAACGTAGGTACTCACTCACTAACTAAACTGTCGTTCGTGCTCCGTAAACGAACTAAAGTCGCTGACATAGCCCGACGGATTAGCAAGCTGAAGTGGCAATGGGTATGGCACATAGTACGCAAAACTGACGGCCGATGGGACAGCAAGGTTCTGCAGTGGAGGCCGCGTACCGGGGAACGCAGCGTGGGACGTCCACCAGCATGGTGGACCAACAACATCATAAAGGTAGCAGGAAAGCGCTGGACGCAGGCCGCTACCAACAGGGCAACATGGAAAGCATTGGGGGAGGCCTGTGTTCAGCAGTGGACGTCCTATGGCTGAGATGATGATAATGACGATGCTCATTAAAACGGGATTTTGCAAAATTCAATCCCTAAGATTGCAAAACGGGATCCACGCGTACGAAGTCGTGGGCGGCCGCTAGCACTCTATGCATGTTCTTTGATATTGGCCTGCTAATTAAGGGCCACTCGAAATAAACTTGAGATGACGACATCAGTTTAATCTTCAAAGGGTTTATTAATAGCCTTATCGTCTCCTAAGATCTCTCATTAAGAAAGACAATACACAACTAAAGAACTCCTTGAGGTCGGGGAAGTTTTACCCATCTTGTTTTGGGGAGCGGGATTATTATGGCAGAAAATACGTGGGTGACTTGATGTTTATAAAATTAAAGTACGTATTTAGTATGCTGGCCTTTAAAGAGAACCTAAAACTGAATATACTAGTTTGTTTTTGTTGGTAGAGCGCGCTAATCTCAGGAACTATACTGGGCCGATTTTAAATCTGTAGTAAAGCCTGGTCCATGAGCACGTAGAATCCCGTCCAATGACCCCAAGCTGTTCATCCTTGTCGCTCACACGTAATTATGTTGCTGTCGCGCTCGCACACTCACTTCGGGCGCCCGTCGCACAGTCGCGACAGCAATATAATTACGCGCGAGCGATAAGGATGGGTAGCTAGGGGTCATTGGACGGGATTCTACGTGCTCACGGACCAGGCTTTAAACGAGGCGAAGAAAATCGGCAAGACGTGGAGCGAGATCAAACGCGAAGCTCAAGAGCGAACGCGATGGAGGACTGTTGTGGACGCCCTCTGCCCCATCTAGGGGACATAGGACCTTAAGTCTAGTCACCTATGTCTACTAATTTAAAGATTATAACTTTATGTCTACTAAGATGAATAAAAAGTACCAGAGCAACATAACATAGATGTGCTCCAAGGAATAGTTTAGATGCGCATCATTAGGTGCGCCTCAAATGTCATATGGACCAGAAAATAGGTAGGTACCTAGCACAGTATATATATGAGCTAAAGCAGTACGGAAACTTAGCCCTTTCGGCGAGTTAAATACCTACACTTCAACTGAGTGTTAGGGTTGGCACTCTTAATCTTTATAAAATTAATAAGGTTCTTACTTACTTATTTATCAAAACGTTTATTTAGGTTTTTTAATTATCAAATACCTAATGGAATAAATTAATTGACTAAGTAGTTAACAAAAAAATAAAACGTTAATTAGGTTCTATAATGATCGAATAATCTCGGTAGAAGATCTATTCTCATAAATAAAATACCGGATACTTACTTTCACATACCTATTGCCTTATTTTAAATACAGTTCATCACTTATTACAAAAACGTGTGGAGCAAATTACTTTATCAAATAGAACACAATATAAACTGTTAAAAAGCGTAATTACGTAATTTAAAAAGAACTATTACTAAATCAGATGTAAGCACTTTATTTAAAAAGTAATATTTAATCATTTTTACAATTCAGAATTATTACGAAGTTTAAAAAATGAAAGTTCTGGTTTTGAAGATGCCGAGTTCAAGCAGCCGTATACTACGCAATACACTCGTGGCATGTTTTTAAAAATACAGCGGACAGTGCATGCAATAAAATTATTATTAAAAACACAACGCGCGCGACACTCGCGACGGATGGACTGCGAGGTTCGCTTAGAGCTCGTGTAAAGCGTGCGTCTGTGTGCGTGAGTCTGATTTCGAGCGTTTGTATGAAGCTTCCGTACTGTTTGATTTATCTACTGTGTACCTAGGGGAGACTGAGTTGAGTTGTAACAGAGGAGAGTTGTGATATTGTCGATTTTTGGAACTTATTAAATACTAGCCTTGGTCCCCCCTTAAGTGACGTTGCAAAATCGAACTAAATATACATATTTGAATCACACGAAACATTTTTAGACTAATCGACTAACTGTCTGTTGTGGTTGTGTTGTGGTTGTGGTTCTGTTTTATTCAATAAACAATAATTTTATAATACATATATTTACATAAACTTTATGTAACTAACTAACCTTTTATGTCGGAATAAAAAGCGTTGAAAGAAATAAGACTTAGAATAATAAATCATATTTCGCTACCTGTTGATATTTATGAGAAGCCAAAACCTAATTTGATAGTAACTTGATATCAAGAGGCTTTCATTTTTGTTGAAGCGAGATTTAGGTATGTGTTTTTTCTTTAGATTTGCCCTAAATGACATAAATGAATCCTACTTATTAAGAAATCAAAAATACGCAACAAATTACGTCTTAGATTCCGAATTCATTTAATATATTATTGAATATTAATATTTAATTATGTAGGTATGTTTAGATTATGTTTTATCAAATGAGAATCAATAAATACACATCAAATCGTAATAAATAAAACTCATTTTGCTTCAATAAAATGGTAATATGCAAGTCATTTAAGTCGCTACATATATTTTCAACAACAATATTAACGATACAAACAATATCAAAAAAGAAACAATAAAACAAAAACAAATAATCCAAAATGTCCACGAGTTGCATTTGTTTCGTATAAAAACAAACAAGACAAAGTACCTAAGTAACATCGTCTCTTGGTTTTACCTACAATTATTTCGCTAGAGCTTACAATAGGTACATAATTCTTGATTACTTAACATAATTAATTATTATACCCACTTACCTAACTAGTAGGAAGATTTTCGTATCACTTCTATGTACACATCAAACCAGAGATACGTATAAACTAATATTGGGATTGTATACTACAAATATACAGAAAAACACCCAAAAATCACTATCTCTATACAGAAGAGTAAAAATTACACTGCAGTAGAAAACTTCGATACAAAATAGTAGGATTCTGTGATATTTATTTGGTAAAATATAGGATTTTGTGTAAAAAGCGAGTCTCATAGATTTGCGCGAAGCACTGAAAAAGGTGCTTTTCAGTGGGCACGGAGAGTGATATTTTGGGGCTGTTACTGAAGGAATAGGTAAACCTACCAGTCACTTCAGTATGTTCTAGAATACCACGAACCGTCGTAGAATTGTCCATTCATAAAATTAAAAGTACCTTAATGAAAAAGGGCTAATAAAAGTCGATGACCAGCCTTGAAAAAGAGGCTGACAATAGTGACTGAGTTCCTTTCGCTGCTTCTTCTCAGCACTGGCCCATTTGTCCTAAAGCAGTTACTGGGACGTGTAAAAGTGTTTTAAATAAAGCCTACTTGCAAAAATAATAAGTTCCTACCTATTTTGAGTTTTTAATACAGGAAAGTTAGGTTGAATACAAAGTACACCTTATGAAAGTTTATGTTAACATTGTGTTTTGGCTACAATGTGAAAGCTCTTGGCCTGCATCTCACCTGATGGAAAGTGATGATCAGGCCGAAGGTGGAAACGAGATTCACTCGGAACCTGTAAACCACAGTACCTATTCGCTTCAGTGTTGAATACTCTACCTATGAAAAATTTTACTTTCATAGCTTGTATTACTTATCATAATAATTATACCTTGATATTGAATTTTCATCTAATAATTTCAATTAATTTTGTGCAAGTTTTCACGCTACCTAATTTTTGATTCCAAAATGGTAGCAAGGCGAGTATTTAATCTACGTAATAAGTGCCCCTAAAGGTTCTGTACCTGTAGGCAAAAAAAATCACAAATTATAATACGTAGGTATAGTATAGTCACTTTTCATCAGGTAAGATGCAGGCCAAGAGCTCCATCTTCGTGTTAAAACTCAAGTCACTCACTTTAATTTCTCCACTGAAAACTACCTGTAGCTGTTTTTGTTTTCACGTGATACAAAATCACAGTTCCAAGACGACATCAAAAAGTACCCGCCGCCATTTTGTGCCCAACATCGCAGTTGCGCGCGCATTTTGTTTATAATCCATTTAGATTCGATTTTAAGGGTTATCCGAGCTATTGAAGGTACAGTGTAAATAAAACCGTATTTATAAGAAGGTTAAGTTGGAAATGGAAGGGTTTCTTTTGGGAAATAAGGCATGAAATAGTATAACGTTTTTATTTAACTACACTTCGTTCAATAAAATAAAGGAAATAATCATTCCAAAGCAATTCAATTCAAATTCCAAACCAAATACTCGTACTAATGCGAAAATATGTCGCAATACACAGTGATATGATGCAATTTATCGAAGAAAGAAACTTATTTTTATAACTGGCTAGATGTAAAAGAAAAAAAAACTACTTTAAAAAAAAACTATGGCGACCTTAAAAGTTGCAATAATGCGCTGGATGCAGGCCGTCAAAAATGGGGCGATGCAATGTGGAAATCCTTGAGGGAGGCCTATGTTCAGCAGTGGTCGTCCTGTGGCTGAATTATGATAATGATGAATACCTATTATTGCAGAAATAAAAAACGCAATTTTTGTTCGATATAAAAAGCTTTTCATACTACGGCGTATCGCGCTACGTACTACGGTCTACGGATTATGTAGCAAGTTCGTAGCGACTCTGTGGCGATCTCGTAGCTTCGTAGTATGTAGACCTTCGCGTAGCAACGGAAGACTTGAACATAATCTATTTAAAATAAGGTGGTGTGTGTTTAGGGATTTTTATTTTACTATTTTTTACAACAATTGTGTATATTTTCTTAAATACTGTGCTATTCTTTTTTGCACAAAATTTTTTGTCTTTCTTAACATGTCTTGCGAAATCGTAGAATCTTTGGTTTATAATTATTAGTAGGTATTGTTGTTGCGATTCACGAAGGCGAGTGAGCTTATGTCTACGTAATCTATACTTATAATAAATCTGTAGAGAGGTCAATTCTGTACATGAAATATATTTTCAAAATAACTATCAGGGGGTGATTAGTGATCGATACTGATGCCAAAAATGCAATCAGTAAAATTTTTGTCTGTCTGTCTGTCTGTATGTTCCTTATAGAAACAAAAACTACTTGACGGATTTTAACGAAACTTGGTACAATTATTCTTCGTACTCCTGGGCAGGTTATAGGATACTTAGGAATTCCCACGGGCACGGGAATTAGCGGGAAAATCCTTTTGTATGAAAAATCTAAACTGCTTAAGTTAGACGCTTGAAATTTGGCATGCAGGTACCTTAGTAAACTCAAAGCTGAGTTACAACAGGATATTGCAAAATTCCCACGGGAACGGGAGTTAGCGGGAAAAAACATTTGTATGAAAAATCTAAACCGCTTAAGTTAGACGCTTGAAATTTGGCATGCAGGTACCTTAGTAAACTCAAAGCTTAGTTACAACAGGATATTGCAAAATTCTCACGGGAACGGGAGTTAGCGGGAAAAAACATTTGTATCAAAAAATCTAAACCGCGTAAGATAGATGAAGGGGGTAAAACGGGATCCACGCGTACGAAGTCGCGGGCGGCCGCTAGTTCTTAATATTGCAAGACTTATTTAATTTCATCACCATTTTCCTTATTCAGTTCTTTTTTACTATCGTCTTAGGTTTATTATGGTGTAGCAAGGTTTTGGTCATCTGAGTAGGTTTTGGAGAGAACGAAAAAGCATAGAAATATCTAATTGCCAAAAGTGTGGACGAATGAATAGATAGATATAAGAACACACTTTATTGTATAGGTACATAAGACAAGAAAATAAAAAGAAATATACAAAAGATACGGCATAATTTAGGCGTTCTTGTCGCTATAAAGCTCTCTCTTCCAGACTACTTAGCTAGAGGATAGTTGTTAAATTGGGCTGGGTTGCACCAACTTACTTTAACTTTGACAATCGCCAAAAGTCTGTCAAACTCGATACAAAAAAACACCGGTTATCGTTATAGTTACGGTCAAACTTAGGTGGTGCAACTCAGCCTTGTGTTCGGAAAGGAAAAGGTATCAGTAGGTAGCGATTTTTGGTCCCTAGCTGTTGTTTCAAATATTTAATCATCATCATCATCATTTCAGCCACAGGATGTCCACTGATTTTCAGATTGACCGGTTTGTAGTGGCCTGCCTCCAGCGCTTTCTTGCTACATTTATTTAGGTCATTTGTCCACCTTGTGGTCAAATATAATGGAATATTAATACAATGGTCCGCGAACGTTAAAATTTTAATTGACAAGAATGCGTAGATTTTACACTTATTGCGTGTCATACTTATAAGCTATAAATTACTGTATTGGATTGAAAAAGAGGCTGACAAAGGTGACTGAGTTTCTTCCGCCACTTCTTCTCAGCACCAGCCCATATGTTGTCCCGAAGTGGTGGTAGGGCAAGCCATATTTAGTTATGTATAAGTGCCCTGGAAAGGGCCTATGTACTGAATAAACTATTTGAATTTGAATTTAAGTATCTATTTCTATGCTTTTCCCTTTCTCTTGTTATCGTGGTTTTAAGGGGATGAGCCAATTAACGAGTAACAAACTGCCAAGCAAATGGAGCGTAAGTATTGCCCTAATTTAAGTAAATTACATGTAAGTAATTAATAATTATGTAAAGCATTTTGTGTTCGGCAATAATTTGAGGTAAGATAGCCAGTTCCTCAGTGGTTGAGGATTCCGGGTGAACCTCGCTTCCACCTTCGGCCTGATCATCACTTACCTACCATCAGTTGACCGGGCGATGTGGAAACCAATGGGGGAGGCCTATGTTCAGCAGTGGACGTCCTAATCGACCTAAAACGCATAATACTTTATTCAAGGAAGCAAAAAAAGGAAATAAAAGAGTAAATACATCACCGAATAATCATTTATTTGCTATTTTAGTTATTTATTAGTCTTATTTTTACAATTTCAAAAGCGATAGAAAGAGATAGATATCTAACTGTCAGTTCACACCCAGCCTGTGAACTTTAGTTATCTATCTCATAAGTCAACCACTAAATAAAAAATCAAAAGTTTATATTCAAATTAGTCACTATAAAGAAATGCGTATTTAAACAATGATTTTCTTATTATAAACAAATACTTTTTTTAAAGTAAAAAGCTTTTTTACCTAAAATAATTGACTAGAATAAAGACGGATTAAAAATGACATTTCTATTAAGCTTAAATTTATAGTCTATGGCATGGAACAGTCGAGAAAATTAATATGGAGGAACATTGGTAGCCATCGCACAATGGGTTATGTCACAGATATGGATTAGAGTAGATACAGCAAGTTGCTAGTCAAAGCGTGCCATTCCGATATGTCCAAATGGACATACATGGTCGAGTGATGTTCATGTAATCCGATTACAACAATCGGATACGATGATTTTACGAGGACAGTAGTACGAACACGGTAGAGGGAAGAAATTATTTACGGATTGAGAATTGTAATTAACAGCAACGAGTAACAAATATGTAATTAATTAGAATAAAGTAGCAGAAGAAGAATTATAAAACAAGTTAGATCAGTGATCGTGGAAGACAGAGTGCACTGTATAACGTCGAAATATACAAATCAAGAAGTTAGGTCAGTGATCGCAGTATACACTATTACTACTATGTATACGACGCCCGAGATTTTGTCGTTTAGAAATATCTTCAAAACTAGGTACCTGACTTAGCTTTATTTATGAAAAAAAAACGTATTGGCAAAACTACGCATTTTTACATTTATTAAAAATGAGTAAAATAGTCTTTATTTTATGAAAGTAGGTCATTTACTTACTAGGATATTTAAAAGTATGGAATTAAGTATGAATTACTAGTAGTACTATTTAACATAATGGAATAACGATAATTACTTTCATAAACATTAGGCACAACAAAAATATTATTTGCAAATTAATAATGTAGAATTGTAGAATAACGTCTACCGCTACATAATTATTTTAATCCACAGTCAGACTAGCTATAAATTTAACAAAATATCAGTTTTATCGGAATTAATTAATTTTTGAATCGAGTCACACGATATCATTCGATGACTTTGCGAATGCAGTACGATGATACGATTACTTTTACGTTGCGGCAATCACTAAAATTCGCTAAAATGACACTAATGACGTTTAAAAAGTGGCACGCTCGGCTTCATACAAATTTTGACACATGCTGCATCTATCTTTATCTGTGGGTTATGTTATATTTATTTATATCCAAGGTTTTTGAATAGAGCCTCTTCGTTGAGCGGGTGATCCGAGAATGGCGTCTCCCTGAAGATTACTGATGCATCCGCTATATGCATCTGACGTTTCCCGTATCTGAAACAAACATTTCGATTTAGCGCCATCTTTTGACGTGTAAAAGCACTACGTAGTGTTAAAGCGCCATCTATAAGAAGCTCTAAAATTAATAGACAGTTCGTATTTTAGTTGTTTTGCTCTTAACTTGATAGATGGCGTTGGGAGTTTTTCGCGTTTTTATTGTACCATGTTGGGCGCCAAGTTTTATGACAATATTTTTTTCACGTAATAACTTGTTTATAAAAATTAATCGCTGTTTCCTGTTACCTGAAACAGAGAGTTTTACCTAGAATGACGAAGTTCACTGTAGCTCCTTCCTTCTTTCCTGTGTTTGATCGTTGTGACAGGGAAACTTAGAGGTGCATTGTGGTTACTGTTACTTAGGTATACGAGTATGTATAACGACGCTGCAGCGCCGTTACCTTAACATGCCATGCATAGACTAGTATGCCTTCACTACTTTCACCTTAACCTGCCTGCAGATAGTTTCTTAATTTACCTAACTCGGGTGCTTACCACGTGGCACAGCGCTGCCGCTTGCTGCAGGAGGGCATCATAGTGGTTTGCTGACGACGCAATTCACCTGTAGTTCCTTACTTCTAGTGTCATAGAGCATCCTTGCGGGAGAGAGAGAGACAGAGCAACAGGTGACAGAGCAGGAGGGAGGCAGTGGTCTGGGTCTCCCTAGAGTACTGTCTTAGCGCGAGTAGCGCTGGAATAAGGCAGCTAGAGGTGCATGGTAGATGCTGTCAGTTGTACAACGGTTCATCAGCTCCTGCCCCTGTCATAATTTAGCTCCATTCTTCCTTTGTCTTCCAGGGAGTATCCTTGTGGCATAAGGCTGCCAACACAAGTAGTAGATAGAGCAGATCACGATGGCTCCTTCCTTTCTTCCTGCGTCTGGAATCATTCTGGTGCCATAGAGCTGCCAAAAGACAGTACACCAGCTCACCTGCCCCGGCCGTGCACGGAGTAGTACTCCTGGAGCTCCCGGAGGTAGTTGGAGATCTGCTCGGCCGTGTCGAGGCGCTCGGGGCGGCGCGGGCGCGGGTACTGCGCTTGCGCACACAGCGCCGCCGTCAGCAAGGCGAAGGCTAAGAAGAGCCGCATTGTGGATTCTGTAATGATTAAAGCCCGGTCTGTGAGCACGTAGAATTTTGTCCAATGACCCCAAGCTACCCATCCTTATCGCTCGCGCTTATGTTGCTGTCGTGCTCGCACACTCACTGCGGGCGCCCGTCGCACAGTCGCGACAGCAATATAATAATTACACGCGAGCGATAAGGATGGGTAGCTTGGGCTTGGGATCATTGGACAAAATTCTACGTGCTCACAGACCAGGCTATAGAAGTGTTTATTAAAAGAAATAAAGAAGCGAGAGCGACTGGCCGTTCAGGGAAAATTTGGAGGAATCCGATCGCGTGGCAGGTCACCCATGCGCTGGATTGACCAAGTGACATCGGCAGGGGAGACTGCACCAGACAGTCTGCTATAGAACAGAGAGAGGCGGGAGGATCGTGCGGAGAGCTGTATCCGCTTACATACGATGTGAACAACACCTTAACGTGATTCGACCAAACTCTTCGGCCATAATAACCGCTAGGTAGGTATTGGCCATGGGTGGTGGTGGGATTTGTCCTAGAATCTGCAGTAAAGTTATTTACTACCAATATCTCAATTCAGTTCATCTTTATGTTTAAAACTAGCGGCCGCCCGCGACATCGTACGCGTGGATCCCGTTTTACCCCCTTAGGGGTGGAGTTTCGGAAAATCCTTTCTTAGCGGATGCATACGTCATAACATCTACCTGCATGCCTAATTTCAGCCCTATACGTCCAGTGGTTTGGGCTGTGCGTTGATAGATCACTATGTCAGTCAGTCACCTTTGAGTTATAAATTTAGATAGAGGTAACTAAGTAAGTTTAGTGTCAAAACCATCCATCATATTAACCTAATTCCTGGAAATATTATACAATAAGTGCAGATTCGCAAGTACGTCACAACCTCACGGCATTCGATTAAACCATTAACAATCGATTAGGGGATTAATCGGTATCAATCGCATCGATAAACTTTATTGCATTACCGATAACGCGTAAATCTTTTCACAATACTGATAAGGTAGGATTTACAGTGACGGTAGAGCTGGTCTTTGATTCAATGCGTATATAGGACTCAAAAATCGCATAAAACTAATTTTATTTTTGCAAGTAGACTTTTAAAAAGCACTTTTACACGTCCCGGTATTAATGACGCAGTGGTAGGGTTAACCCAACCACTGCTTCGGGACAATAAATGGGCCAGTGCTAAGAAGAAGCAGCGCAAGAAACTCGTGCCCGTATTCACAAACGATGCTTGCTTAAGCGAAGCAGTAAATCGAACGCACAGCGTTCTGTGATTGATTCCTGTGTCACCCTGTGCGTCGACGCGCACTGTGAGAACTCATAGTAATGTTTGTGAATACGGGCGTCAGTCACTAGAACTAAAAACATAAAACCATCTATTCTTCGTTATCAAACGATAACTCACATAATAAGAACACTTAAACCTTTATGCAGCTTAATTTTAACCACAATAGCTCAGCTCAAGCGTCCTAGAGTGTTAGTCTATGGTCTACGGCTCTGTTAGTCTATGGCTGCCTTGTTTATACAGGTGGGGGCTAAATATGGACGCATTTGGGTAATTAAGCCTAAAATACCTAGCGTATGGTGGACAGAAGTGGTCAAATAGGATTTTCCAGTTTTAGACAAAGGTGACCGAGTTTCTTCCGCCACTACTTCTCAGCACCAGCCCGTATGTTGTCCCGAAGTGGTGGTAGGGCAAGCTATATTTGGGACGTGTATAAGCGCCCTACTAAGGGCATATGTACTGAATAAACTATTTGAATTTGAATTTTAGACGCCATTAGTTATAGTATAGCTAAAGCGTGGAAAAAATATAATGTTTCATAATGTTTGATTTATGTCTGACCTTTAGTGGAAAACATAATTCCATAGACAATATAATTTTTTCAACGCGAACGGGAAATCTGTAGCTTTGACAGCCGTGTTACCGTAAATTATAAATAATGGTTTCTTAACTCGCCGTAACGTAATAAAAGAAAAGTTCAAATTTGATTTGACAGACTGTACTAATATTGTAAATGCGAAAGTAACTTATTAATCTGTTTTTCAGGATTTAAACGCTGAACCGATTGTAATGAAACTTGGTAGATATAGTTTGAAAGATAAGAAAAACGTGGGATAGTTTTTAATCAGATTTTTGAAAGATTCCGAAATTCAGCTACAATCTCGCGGGCAAAAGCTGATTGACTAATAAAATGGCTACTTAAGTAGATTGAAGGTTTCTTTACTATTAGTGTTCCGAATAAAATAGTTAAATAAATTGATAAAGGCTTGGTGGCTATCCAGCTAGAAAATGCAGCCAGCATCGTCGCCTCTTTGCCTCGCGGAGACGCTTTATTTTTGAGTTATTTTCTTTGTTTAGTTAAGTGCGTTTATTTTGAAAATATCTGTTTACATATTTTAATAATTTGTAAATAAAGACAGCATTATTTAAAAAAATGATAGATAATTTGTACATAACTATGATCGTCCAAGGCACATTAACATTTTGTTCAAGCGAGATCCAAGCTATCCGGAGCATGGGGTTAAAGAAAACTTTATTCTCAAAAGAAATAAGTAGTACTAAGACACAACGACGGACGGTTGATATCTGTTTTATTGGTATTAACTATTGCTATTTATACATGTTTTATTGTTTGTACACATTTAAAAGTATTTGCTAGTGTGCCGTCGGTGTAGAGTGCCGACGGTGCACGCTGAGGGTTCATGGGTCGCCCGGCGGTCGATGCTGACGGTGCAGCAGGATGTACGATCGTGCTCGTACAGCTGGATATTCAAAGTTACACCCGTATTCACAAACGATACTTGCTTAAGTGAAGCAGCAAATCGAACGCACATTGTTGAATAGAGCTCTGTGATTGGTTCGTGTGTCAACCTGTGCGTCCACGCGCACTGTAAGACCTCATAGTAATGTGCACGGGCGTTAGTGTCTGTGTTAGTGAATGTCAGCTTTACACTCAGAGAACAAATCATTAAAAAGCATCAAACAAATTCAAAATTCAAATTCAAAACGTTTATTTGCCAAAAACACAGTTATACAGGGTGACAATATTAAATAGGATCATGTGTTTAGTCTGCTCGCAGACGTGCAAAAATTACAGGAGTCAATAGTATGTCAAATAATTAAGAAAATGTCAATTTAAAATTAAATTAATACATATCAATGTCGCCAATTAAAATGAAACTATTGTTTCAAACCAATAAAGAGAAACGCTTTAAAGTTCGATTTTAAAACATATCGTCCATTGTAAAAGTCAAGTCCAATCATGGTGCTACAATCAGTAAACAGCACATAATAGCGCTGTACGGGCTCGAACCTGCGACCCACCGTGTGTCTATTGTTCGCTGCAAATCAACTGCGTAGGGATGGAAAGATGGAAGTTAACTTTATCGATAAATCTGGGTGAGAAATACAAGTATTATTTTCGTAAAAGAGTTGCCACTGCAGTGACCAGTGCACTGGTCGTTTTTGTTTAAAAATATGTAAAGTTTGAACTAGCTGGTTATAAGAATTTGTGGTATATTAGCACTTATCAACTACCTACATATTGCAAGAAAGGATTTTTTCCTGGCGGCTTGGTGACTGGAATTGAACCGCCACCGGTGCAGACGGAGAAGATGGTGAATTGTCTGCACGTGAAAAAGAGGTTGTCCGGCTTGCAGAAATTTATATAAGTTACCGTTCCTTGTGTGAAATTAGAAAATGTAAATAAAACAGCTCCCTCTCAATTGACACGATTTATTTTTATCACGTATGCTCGTATATAGTTAACAATTACGATATTATAATAACTACTGTAATAGTGCCAATCTCAAGGGATTCAGGGTCGTTAATTAGGTTCGGTTTGGTGAATATTATTGCCACTACAAATTTCTTAAAACTCAGCCTAAATATTAAAAGACTCTAATAGTTAAGATAACTGCACGATGTCAGGTCGGAAAGACTCCTACTTGAAGGATGGAAAAGTGGGTACCTTGGAAGCCATGCGGTTATAAGCCGTTACCCTGAACGTTCCTCTCTTCTTCCGGGGTCCAACGGGTCTCGCACACTTTTAGGCTNGCGGGCCTTCAAAAGAATGCCGCAACCGTCTGGTGTTGTCAAAGTTTCTGCGAGCTCCTCCATGGTCCAGTCAGTGGGGATGTTCCTGATGAGACCCATGCGGGTCACGTTATAAGTCGGTATCGAGGCAACGTATTTGTACAATGGAAGAATTTCGTTATTCAGGAAATTATTAGCTGCGCTGGGTGAAACAAATTCGACTGAAATTCTGTTTCTTCCGATTTTTTTAACTCCGTCCAAAACTATACCCTGGATTCTGTTGGTAACCAGAAACTTACCAAATCTCATTGGTTGGATGAATACGGGGGAAGAGGGATCAGTTTCCATATGAGACACGTGAACTAGGAACGGGCCTTTGTCTTGGTCACTATATGTTTTGGGGGCAATGACTAGCGAGGGGTGAGTGTACACCTGTTGATTGATTTGAGGTAAGGAACCATCGGTGTTGGTTCTTTTAGCTGGCTCGGAATCGCCTGTCGTGTCAAGACGGCGTTTGGTAGCCGATTGTGAAAATAATGGCTGAGATAATTCCATTGGGGCGGCCTGGTCTGGGGGATCAGGCGGGTCGGGAGGTATGACATCCATGTTAATTTACTTTACTTACCAAAAATACACGAAAGTTAATATACCACCACCTTAGTTTTATTAATAAATAAGCTTAGAATAAGATTCCTGTAGAAAACCACACTAAAATTTTCAAAATAAACGAAAATATCCGACACACGTGTAGCCACTGACACTCGCGAGACGGAATCCCGATGGAATGTCCAGTTTATTATCAATTTCATGAACAAAAATAATTTTATAAGACAAAAAGTCACTGTCAGTTAACTGTCATACTTAGGGTTGCTTGTGGGTGTTTACACCGGGTGAAAACAAATAATTTTATAATTATTTCAATTGGTATCTTTTCTTTATTTTTATTGAATTTTTC